GAGTACGCCTGCGTTGATCGCTTGGGCCTTGGAGGATTGGAAATAGATAATAGAGAGAAAGAGCACAATAGACATACAAACTCATTGATAAATATATAGAAATAGTAAGGAGAAAGAAATGCGTCGGTTAATATCTACGAGTTTAGATCAAAAAGTATCGGGACTGTTCATATGGCAAGGAAGTTAAATTGAAGCCGCTTAGCACAGATTGACTGTGAACTCAGTCACGCATATACAGTAAGTTTTAACTTTCTCGCTCACTTCCGTCGTTCAAAGCAGTACTTTGAAGGAAAGTGTGTAGAGTGTGGTCGTCTCAGCACGCCACAGAGGTTCCATCAATAACCAAGGCTTGTGCAGTAGATTTTGAGCAATCACAATATTCCCAAATCCGACAACTACTATATTCCTCAGACATGGCCCATTAACCTTTTCCTTTTCAAAAATCAAATTGCACTTAAAAGAAACAAGATTTCATGACGCTGAGGAAATCAAAAAGAATGTGATGAGGCAGCTGCTCGCTATCCAAAAAAGTTCGAGGAATGCTTCATTGAATGGCAATGATGCTGGATAAAATAATGTGTGGCTTTAGAAGGAGACTACTTCGAAGAAGATTAAATGCCGAATAGACATGTGCTGTAATTTTGTTGTTATCGTACCAATCGCGATACTTTTTTTTATATATAACATCTTAATTGTTTTAATTGCTTTATTATTGTCATTATTATCATGACTTCTCAACCTATGACGTAATGCTCTCATTTTGGCATTATGATCTCTTAAAGGGTGAGTAACTTTTTAGGGGAGTTACGAAGAAGGCTATCATTTTAAAAGGACCATAAGATGATTTAAACCTTTGAGTGTGACGATTTACATTATTTTATATACACCTTTGTTTATCTTTTCCTATATATTTGTATTTTTAAACATTTATCTTTAATTGCAATATGGCTATGGCGCAAAAGCCTGCACGTTTATTATCCGGAAGCGAGCTAAGTATATAGCGAACTAAAGATGTAAACTTTGGCGGGAAAAGTTAAGCTGTGGCCGACATGTGAGGCTCGTTGGTCACCGCTTAACTTTTCCCGCCAAAGATTACATCCTTAGCTCGATACATTTCTTTCCTTCTTTTTCTTTTTATATATTTTAGATAGCTCTTTTGGTGAAAGCCTTAAAAAGTAAATTGATTTTCTTTCATTTTCGTTGAGCTTATCGCAAGAGAAATCGAGTTTGGCAGGCAGAGATGTGGAAAGGGTAACTAGCGCCGGTTCATGGAGTGCCGCTTCCCTATCAATGAACTGGGAACAGTAACCAGTTCGTCGATTACGGCAGAATATCGGATACACTCGCTTTTACGTGTTGCTATGTCTGTCGCAATAACTCCATTTTTCAATGCAGTTTTCACACAGCTAGATCCAGCCTACGCAAAGACATTAAAAGAAGCACTGGAGAAGAAAACATGGAGAACCACTGATCTATTGGGTCCGTTTTCCTCGTCATTTTGTTTTAATAACAATATTTCGGCCGTTGTATTCTCCCACCATCTTCAGGTCTCTCTGGTATTGTCCCCTCTAGCAATGGCCTAATGAACAGCACATTGTTCATGGGCATCTAGCTCCATGGTCAAAGTCTTTAGAAACTTGGTAAGAAACAAAGAAAAAAGGGCTGAATTGTTATATCACATCTATCATCTAATATGGCAGTAAAAATTGGACAATTTCCTCATAGATGAAGAGAAGGCGACAGCGATGAGCTTATACAAAAGGATGCTGAGAATACCATGGACATAGCATGTAAACAACGTGGAAGATTTTAAAAAATGAGAACAAAAAGGATACATAGAATTGGAAAAGGAAAGTTGAAATTCCAGGGATACATCATGAGGAAACTAGCTTGAAGAAGTTGACAGATATGAAGAGCCGTGATCACTGATGTTTTGAAAAGACACAGCACAGAGAAAAAAATTGAATTGTTGTCGAGATTTACATGGTAGTAACCATATTATTAGTATATGAAAAATGTACACCCACGCAGAGCTATTTGCATGTGCATAAGTATAGTTATTCCTCAGGTGTTATAAATACAGTGCTCACTATTATGAATCAGAACTATAAATATATATTATTAAATATACATAATATCCAACGTCGATAACACTACTCAAAGTTTCATGCAGTTAATGCAATCTTCAGGTGTGGAATTACTCCACCTGTTATGAATACACAGGCGCATGAACGAGAGACGCTGGTAGTTTCAAATTTTTTGAAAATAATTTTAGAAATAAATATTTGTGTGCAGTCTAGTCAAATTGATCTATATTCTTATACTTTTTATTTCCATCTTTGTTTTTAAATATTCCACATTGTCATAACAGAAAACCTACCAAGAATGTTGAAGCATTGTAAGAATCTGAACGTAAATTTACTGTGGCTGAATTAGTGATTAAATCCTTTTCTATACATTTTCGTCTTAGTGAAATATATATATATATATATATATATATATATATATATATATATATATATATATCAGTGTGTGTGGGGTGGATGTTTTTTAATAACAAAGATTATGGAAAACAAAAGAAAAAGAATCTAAATTAAATTGGCTACACATAAACATTTCTAAATTTAAAATTCACAGCTTTTCTCCTTTCTGTGCATGTATAGAAGCATCGACGTAAACAAGTCGATGAAGTCCTAAGGCACGAAATACGTCAAGCGAAGAAAACTTTGTCCACTTCGTCAGACTTCTTTCCTCTAAAACTCATCTTGATATCTAAAAATTTATGCATCTTTACCCTCCATATATATATATACATTTATATATATTCAGTCGCTTTCTTTTTCTTTATATACATAAATAAAGCGATATGTTTATAACCGAAACTTAAATCAAAATTTATCTTACTCAAAAGGATTTATTTCGACAATCATTGCTTTCCACAACTTCCTATTCCTTGTAGCTTTTAGAAACTTATTTTTATATCCCTTACCCTCAAAGTTTCGCCACCCGTTCACAAAATCTCATCAGGTAGATAGCTATCTGCCCCTCGCTGTCTCTTTTGTCTTCGATATATTCTGTGAGTGTTGAATTCTCCAAGTCCTCCATCATCATTATAAGTCGAAGCAATTTCAACTTTTTTCGTACTGATTGTTCTTTTCATTTCCATTTTCATTAACACTTCCAACGCGCTTCGTCCATAACATCGTCAGTATCCTTCTGTAGAGCCATATTATTGTTGCCTTCAGGCTTCGCTTGAACAAAATTGTCTAGCATTCACTGCTATGTAGAACGATAGATATCGCATAGCGTTTAAGCACACATTTCTATTATTTACGTTTGGATTATTGCCTTCATTTTTGTTCTTGTTGCTATTTCATCCTTTCGGCCGTTGTGAGCTCCGGCCTCCATCGTCGTGCACTTGGACTCAGTTGAAACAGAGTTCAACTCAGCAGTACTAAAAATCAGAAGTAGACGCGATAACCGCAGACATGGGGAGTAGAAGGATTACAATGTATTTCATAGGTTAAATAAAGGGTTCAATTAGGAATTCCCTACAGGTTACCCAAACGATAAAATCCTGATGAAGGCAGGAGGGTACAACGACCGAAACGGTGTGATAACAACAAAAAGAATAGTTCGAATGTAACAATTGTACATTATGACAACGTCATCCCAGATATTCAGACAGAAGTTAAGCACACTTTTCATTGTTTCTAATGAGATTTTCCTGTTTCATAATACCTTGCTTACTTTTTAGAAGGCATCTTCTGCTATTCCAGTGCGCGTTCGGATTTTAATGTCACATTTTCCGTATCTGATAAAAATTTTAAATATTCTTTTGTGAATTAATGCAATTTCTGTGAGACTATAATTGTCACTTCTTTTTGCGTGTGCGTGTATGTGTACGCTAGAGGATGAATATAATGTGTTTGTGTATACATAAATGTACACGTAAGACTTTCCCTGACGATCCGTTTAGGTGAAACCTAGGTAGGTTTGTCTGGCTCACTAGGTGTATCTAGGTCTGCTCTACGGTTGTATTGAGCTCTTTTGTTAGTTAGTTGTTACTCGTATCGGGGTTTTTTTGGGGGGGGCTTCAGACCTGCATCTGTGCTATTTTTTTTGTCGGCAGAAGTTCATGTTTGTAGCTCTTTCTTTTTTAAAAACTTTTTTTTCCCTCGAGATTGATTTGATTAGCAAATCAAAAAATTCGAGGATTTTTCGAAACGAGTCTAGTTATCTATCTATCTATATATATATATATATATAGAGATATGAGTTTGTAACCCTGGGTTTCACGCCTTTACGATCATCAGACAAACTAAGGCGTGAAACACAGGGTTACAAACTCATATCCATACAACTGAATAGGTTAGCTCTATCACTGATATTGAGCGTTTTCCAATAAGTACCACGCATATATATATATATATATATATAAATATATATATATATATATATATATATATATATATATATATATATATATATATATATATATATATATATATATATATGTGTGTGTGTGTGTGTGTGTGTGTATGTATGTATTTCTCTTAACAAACTTTGCTATTCCTCTGCTTATTTTAAAGCAGGATTTTCATTTCGCTTGTGTTACTTTCGATTTTCTACTTTCACTTTCACTATTAACGAGTTCCACTTTGATTTTATGGCATTTTTTTTCTTCATTTTAGACCACTTAATTCTTTTTTGCCTTTACTTTTATTTACTTCCCTTTTCCATCCAAGAGGTATTTTTTATTCAGGCTTTACTTTGTGGTTAATTATTTCTTACGCATTTTTTTAGTCACTTGTATATTTTATTGTTTCTTCGTTTTTTCAATTTCCTTTATTTTCAGTTCTTTTCCTTTTCTCCCTCATTGTTTTTTTCTTTTACATTTCCTTTCGATTTTATTTTACTGATATGTACTAAAGTTTGTCAGAAAGCCAAGAGGCAAAGGAAAGTAATACTATTACGCCTGTCTTCCAATAAGTGACAGCTTACGGCCATAGCACGTTAAAAACACCGGTTCTTGTACGATCATCGAAGTTAATGAATGTCGAGCCTGGTCAGTACCTAGATGGGTAACACCTTGGGAATACCGGGTGCTGCAACATGTTATGTACCGGGGCTGCAATGGATAACGGCTTAGAACTGGAAATTTCAATTGTAGTCGTGTTCTTTATATTCACTTACGTGGAAAGACCCTTGGGATAGGTATAAATCCACATCTTCTTCTCCGTAGCACTGGGTTGATTAGTAGAACTTGTATGAAGAAATCATTATTATTTCTGTTATGGGACCTTACCCATAATAACATAATGGACTATTCCATACGTAATAAATACTGCGCCTCAAGAGGAAGCAGGGAGTTCAACCCGAAGTCGGGCGACCGGCTGACCGGCTGATCGGTTGAACTCTCTGCCTTCGGGCAGGGAGGAACCTGAACGAAGCTACGCCGAAGGGCGGATTCTCTTTCGGGGAGGTAAACCGACCCTGAACCCATTTATAAGGGTACAATGGGCATATTCTTGGCCGAGCCCACGGGTTCGGAGATCCCACGTTAAACAGGCCTTGCGCCACATGACGCCCTCGTGGGAGGGTGACTGAATATCGTTCAGTCCGAAGTCGGGCGACCGGCTGATCGGTTGAACTCTCTACCTTCGGGCGGCGAGGAACCCGAACGAGGCTACGCCGAAGGGCAGAGTCTCTTTCGGGGAGGTAAACCGACCCTGAGCCCGTTTATACGGGTTCAAAGGGCATATTTTGGCCGAGCTCACGGGCTCAGATATCCCACGTTAAACCAGCCTTGTGCCACATGATGCCCTCGTGGGGTGGTGGTGACTAAATACCGTTCAGTCTGGAGTGAAGTCCGTCAGGAGTCAGTCAGTCAGAGCGAGCGAGTCAGTCAGTCGAGTCAGAGGCAGTCCGAAACAGAGTCGCGTTCAGACAATTACTACAAGACATCGGAATAGTGATACTGGTCGAAACTACATTGTCCCCCTTACTAAACCTGATTGTTCGTACTAACACTTTCTACTTCTCTGTATATATTCCTGTTTGTAATATATCTGTGTTATTCTACATCCGTGTTCGAGTTCTTCTTTATTGGTTCTACCTTGGACTATCACCGTGGTACATCGAACCGGACAATAACAATCTCTAAATATTCTTACAATCTAAAAAGATTTCTGATTTTAAACAACCTGCAAAAGCTTGATAAACCGTAAATATATGAATCGATTCTTGTCTCATTCAGTTGATTTCCTTTACCTTTGTTATATGTTCGTGAGCCAAGCCTCACTTTATCGTGAACTGAATAAACGCCTACCAATAATTGCGTCGGAGAACGATTTTTTTCCAGAAGACTCCGGATGTTCTTCGTGGACGCTGACCATTGTCTTTCGCTCTTAGTATCATTAATTTTCCCCGCTTCTCTTCCTGAAAAGCGCTCAAATAAATTGTGTAAGTGATGGGCGTGCAACATATAGATCGCTTTAGATAAGTAGGTGTCTTTACGAGTGTAGATGGAATTTAACCTACATAATAAACACCGTGTCTTTGATTGATTTTTAAGGGTTTTCATCATTCATGACGCAATAAATTCTAGCAACCAATTGTAATGACGAATAAATCATCCGAATAAATCGTCCCTTAAACATCAGTTCGTACATGGGTGACCGCTTGGTAATATCAGATTGGATGTGTAAGTGGCGTAATGGTTAATCAGTCAGAAACTGAAATGGCAAATCTGCGTTCCAAATTCAGTCATGTTCTTTATATTCACTTACGCACAAATACCCTTGGGAAAGTTTTAAATCCACCTATCCTCTCCCCCAGCTCTGGATAATCTAAGGTTTCTCAACGTTTTTAAGCAACGGTACACCTAGTTGAAAATGAAAATATCGCAGCACACTTAGCAAATTTTTTTAATTGATATCCGAAATGTCCACAATATTAATTCATAATTTAATATAACTTGTTTACACTACATGCAACTCGATCCAAGAGTTGTGGGTTCAATACCTGGCTACAGCAGAACTGAACAAAATCTTGGAAAGTAGAGTCAAAGAGCAATACTGGCATATTCGGCACGTGGAACTAGAACAATCTACCCTGACGTTAAATACAGTTATATGAAAAAAAAATATTCAAATGAGGGAAAATTTAATAAAAAAATACATTTAAAAAATGAATAATAAAACAAAGTATTTAAAATAATATAATCGGAGATTACTAAAAAGAAGGATTTGAAAAAAACATACTTATGAATTTATTCAAATACTACCGGGTACCATTCGTACTTCCACACACGCACATATATATAATATATGTATGCCGTGAAAATATTTTGCGGCACATATAAGAGGACTAATGTGCCGCGGCAGAGAGGTTGAGAAACACCAGGTTAATCAGTATTGTCAGTAAATCATTACTATCACCGAAACATTCTTAGAATCTAAAAATATTTTCTGGCTTTAAATAACCTGCAAAGGGTTGATAAGCCGTAAAAAAAAACAAATGAGCCAATCAATCCAAGCATTTAAAATATTTCCGGACAGGAAAACCGGCTAATCAGTATGTACGAGACATTTCCTTTTTTTTTTTTAAGCCCGGACTTGAAAATACGAATTGGAAATCCTATTTCTGAACGTGAAACGGAGCACACCCTACCTGGTTTCAGTTTTGCCTGGCTTATGTGCAATGACGCAAAATAGGAATTGTGCAACAAACTCAGCCCAGTGAAAAGTCATCAGGTTTGTTTTATTTTCAAATATTTTCTCCTTGTTTTATTTTTAATCCACATTTTCTCAATATTGCTTATTATATTATAGTTTTCCTAATTTTACTTATTATATTATAGTTTCTTAATTTTGCTTACATATTATATTTTTTTCTTAATTTTGCTCATTGTATTATGGCTTTCTTAAGTTTACTCATTATATTACACTTTTCTTATTTTTGCTTATTATATTATAGTTTTCTTAATTTTGCTTAGTTTTCATAATTTTGCTTATTATGTTATAGTTTTCTTAATTTTGCTTAATTTTCATAATTTTGCTTATTATATTATAAATTTCTTAATTTTGCTTAGTTTTCATAATTTTGCTTATTAAATTATAGTTTTGTTAATGTTCCTTATTATATTATCATTTTCATTATCGCTTTTCTTTATCACTTTCAGTTAAGTTTTGTCTTTCATTATCTTGTTTATTCATTTATTTAGGTTTTTACCAGTTTCCTTCTTTAAGATTACTTCCTCAGTTTTTGGCGTTTCCTTTTTCCCTTTACCTCCAAAATCGCTTCACATCATGTATCGCTAGCATTAGTTTTTTTTTTTTTTTCTCTATTTCTTTTATTACTGAGCTCTGGCGCCAATGCCGCATCGCATTTTCGTATTTGTTCTTTTCCCCGAATTTTACTTAACTGGATTAACATACATTCAAACAATGCATTGCAATTAACATCGTTAAACATTTAATGAGTAATTTGTGTCCCGGGGAAACCAACGCCCAATGAAAGCTTTTTACGTGAATGCCATTTTGCATTCTCTGTTTAACACTTTGTTCAATTCTATCACACATATATCTCCCTATTGTCTTTCTCTTTCTGTTCGTTTCTCTCTTTTTTTTTTTCACTTCACCTCTCCCTCAATCATTTTACTTCTCTTCTTTCTCTTTCTTAATTTTCTTTCTTTGTACTTAATTTCTCTTTTATTTCTTTTTCTGTTTTTCAAGATTCTCCAAACCTCTGCCCAATTTCGTTATTGCGTTTCTCCATATTTCGCCTTTATTCCTCATTAATGTCACTCTCGTTAAACCTTTCACCTTCTCTCATCTGTATCTCTCTCACTCTTTCTCTCTCTTCTCTCTCTGATTGTCTATCTATATATCTACGGAATTATGTCCATAGACACACAGAGAGAGATTGAAAAGGACAGAGATGGCTAAGTAGATGACACACAGTTCTTATATTCCTATCTCGGTTTATTTCTATCTATCTATCTATCTATCTATCTATCTATCTAACCAGCTAGCTAGATATTTACGTAGATATCTATTTCAGTATGTCCCCATCTATCTATCTATCTATCTATGTCTATAGTTTTTACATTCCTATCTCGATTTATTCCTAGCTATCCGCAAACTTTTCATTTCTTACATTCGTTTATTTCTCTCTCTCTCTCTCTCTCTCTATATATATATATATATATATATATATATATATATATATATATATATATATATATATTCTTCTTTCCTCCATTCTATTTCACCTTTTTCTCACAGTTTCTCTGTCTCCGTTCTCTCGCGTTACCATATATTGATGAAAAATAAGTTCCACTAAGATACATTCTTTCGCAAAACCGTTGCATTATGGAACGGACTCTCTCTCTCTCTCTCTCTCTCTCTCTCTCTAATTCTTCACTGTTCAGAACAATTTTAATCTCTTCAAGTCGATGATGGAACATTATCCATCCTACATGTTTTCATAATACGCAGTTTCATGCCTGGTCCCTGTACGTCTTTTCAATAACAACATTTAGAATCCCCACTATATTGGGAAGCTCTGGAAAATGGATGGACAATAGTAAAAAAAATCTTCGTCTTTGCAACCTTTCAACATTCTTCGCTTTCTACACTCTGTTCATAAATAGGTTAACAGATAGACAAATAGTTAAAGAATCAGAAAGAGAGAGACAGATAGATAGAGCATAGTTCTGTCTCTTCCTATCTATCTATCTATCTATCTATCTATCTATTTCTTTAAAACTGTTCATAACTTAGTATCTATCTATATAATTATGTTCATAGTTAGATAAATAGAGAGAGGGAGAGATTTAAAAGGAGGGAGATGGATAGATAATTGACAGACAGTTATATTCCTATATTGGTTTATACCAATCTATCTATCTATCTCTTTAAAACTGTTGATAACTTAGTATCTATCTATCTATCTATCTATACAATTATGTTCATAGTTAGATAAATAGAGAGAGGGAGAGATTTAAAAGGAGAGAGATGAATAGACTTAATGAAGGGATTCCTGGTAGCCCCTGCCAAAAAGAAATGCAAAAAGTATACTCACAGGTACAGTTAACACATTACGCAGA